AGAGTGATTTATGTAAAGACAAAACATATATGTGTCGAATTTTCTCAAACTAACTTTATTTGACAATGAAATATGTGTGTTTAAGTGACTCTCAGAAGTGGGCCTTATATAGAAGCTATGACCAATAATGGACCGATCCGAGAAAAAAGTGGTAGAATGATTCATATGTACACAAAACTTATTCAAGTCGAATTTTACCCCTATAGCTTTAGAATTCAATGAAATATATGCGTGTAACTGATTTTCGGAAGTGGACCTTATATGGGAACTATGACCAATTATGGGCCTATTCGGGAAACATTTCGCAGAGTGATTCATCAAGATGGCTTTATTTGATAATGAAATATGTGCTTTTAAGTGATTTTCGTAAGTGGACCTTATATGGGAGTTATGACCAATAATGGACCGACAGGTAAAAAATTTATAAAATGATTTGTACGTACACAAAACATATTCAAGTCGAATATTATCCCAATAGCTTTAGAATTCAATGAAATATATGCGTTTAAGTGATTTTCGGAAGTGGACCTTATATGGGAGCTATGACCAATTATAGGCCTATCCGGAAAAAATTTCGTAGAGTTATTCATGTTTAGGCAAAACATATTTGTGTCGAATTTTGTCATGATAGCTTTACTTGACATTGAAATATGTGCTTTTAAGTTATTTTCGGAAGAGGGCCTTATATGGGAGCTATGACCAATAAGGGACCGATCCGTAAAAAAAATAGTGAAATGATTTGAATGCACACAAAACATATTTCTGTCGAATTTTATCCCGATATCTTTAGAATTCAATGAAATATATGTGTTTAAGTGATTTTCGGAATAGGACCTTATATGGGAGCTATGACCAATTGTGGACCGACTGAGATCTACGTTGAGAGTATGATTTCTGTTCATATTATATTTACATGTACAAAATTTCGTGTTGATACCTATATATTTGAGAGAGTTATTAACGATAAACTAATTTCCGGGAATATATACCTTTGTATGGGGGCTATGGGAAATATTTTATCGATTGTAAAGATTTTGAATATAATTGATCACTACTCTGAAAAAATAATGTACGACAAAATTCATCGAAATATCTTTGGTAGTTTCTGAGAAAACTTCAAAAGAATTAGGAAAAAAACGTAATTTTTTTCGAGGTAGTCTGAAATTTTTACTCATAACTTTTTACGTTGTGAACCGATTTTGCTGATTTTCAATACCAAACTGCTTAGGATAATAATAAATATTTTGGGTGAATTTGGTTTATTTCCTTTGCTTAGTTTTAATGTGAGCGTGTTTTACACAGACAGACAGACGGACATAGCTAAATCGACTCAGAATTTGATAAGGACCCAGAATATATATACTTTGTTGGGTCTTAGATGAATATTTCTTGGTGTTACACACGGAACGACAAACATATATATACCCTCTATCACCACTGATGGTGGTGGAGGGTATAAAAATATCGGAAACATTTTCAATAATAATAGGTGAGAAGAGTATGGAGGTCACTCTAAAATTTTTACTTTCTGGCTTATAATCTTTGTTTTACAGCACTGGCGGTATAAATCGGGTCATTTTTTTGAAATATCCTCGGTAAGGGTTCAAATATATCCGAAAATTTTAAAGAAATTGAAGCTCATATGTTTCATAATACAAAATTGCCCCTTACTACATCCCCCACAGCTATGCAGACGACACAGGTAGAGCTCTTCCTTTAAAAAATCATAAAAATAATGATTATATTGATCTGGATCTTCTAAATTAAACTTTTTTTCATCCGAAAAAACATACATATGTTGCTATCGCTTAATCACTTGACTTGGAGGCAGATTTTATGAAATCTCTTCTGTCCGCTTTCGTTATGACTCCATATGTACGTCCATTTATGTTTTCTTAATATTCAGACAGTTTTCTTATAAAATAGCGAATAACATTCTGAATTTGCCCAATTTTTTGCCAAATTTCTATGATTTTGAACAGTTTCCAAAAACGCTTAAATTTTGTCATCTTATTCTTTAGTTAACGGCTTACTGGGAGCTATTTTTTTTTAAATATATATTCACAGACGGTAGACTATGAATGGATTTTACCCACTGCCAGCAGTAAACTGATTTTATTGTGAATCAAGTGAGCCAAAAAAATATAGCTAGAAAAAAAAAATTTTTTTAAAAAGCAGCTATCAGAATTGGTCCATTATTATACCCTTCATCTTCGTGAGAAGGGTATACATATGTATACATATAAGTTTGTCATTCCGTTTGTAATTTCTATAATATAATTTTCCGACCCCATAAAGTATATATATATTCTGGATCCTTATAGGTAAGCGGAGTTGATTAAGCTATGTCCGTCTGTCTGTCCGTCTGTGTGTTTGTTGAAATCAGTTTTTAGAGGACCCCAGATATCGGCGAGATCCAAATCTTCAATAATTCTGTTAGACATGCTTTCGAGAAGATCGCTATTTAAAATCAGCAAAATCGGTCCATAAATATCGGAGATATGAGCAAAAATCCGAGACAACCTCTGAAAATTTCATAAAAAATACTATTTTTTCATGCTTTGATATAAGTTACAACAACAACACTGCTTATTCATTGAGTATTCGTTTCATATGTTTGGATGGCTGTGTGTTTCATTGCCTTGTGTATATTGTTTTTGTTTCTTGGTACATTCAGTTTCGTATGTTTGGATGTCTGTTGGTTTCATTGCGTTGAGTATTTTGTTTTTGCTTTTTTTTATGAGTTTTTCGTTTCGTATGTTTCATTGCCTTGTGTATATTGTTTTTGTTTTTGGGTGTAGTTTCGTATGTTTGGATGTCTGTTGGTTTCATTGCGTTGTGTATTTTGTTTTTGTTTTTTTTGTGTATTTCGTTCCGTATGTTTGGATATCTGTTGGTTTCACTGGCTTGTGTATTTTGTTTTTTTGTGTGTTTATTTCGTTTAGCGTTGTTGTTGTTCGTTTTGCTATTGCCATAATAATGATATAAACCGGAAAATTAAATAAATTAAAATTTTATAGAATTGAATTTTTATATATATTTTTAAAATTTTTTTTTAAATACACTGTGGTGAAGGGTATAAAGATTCGGCACAGCCGAATATAGCACACTTACTTGTTTTTTGCGTAAAATTATTTTGAATAGAGATTAAACTGTCATAACTGGCTTAAAAATACCAGTAAAAGGATGAAATTCGACATAAACAGGTATTATGGCCCTACTCCCCATATAAGGTTCCTTTTTAGAAAATGACTTCAACGCTCATGGCTTTAAAAGAAAAGTGGGTCTAGGACTCTGACTGATTATTTTCTTTATAAATGACATTATAAAACTAAATGTGCTTATAAAAGTATTCAGGAATGTATTACCAATAATATACGATACAATGTACTGAATTTACCATCCCTGATTGTAATCGTACATTTATTACTCCGAGATTTTTTCTATTAGATGACATTTCTCAGATACATCTCATTTTTCGCTCCCTTATTTATGGTTCTCGGTTTATTTCAATCTTTCTTCATTTTATTTCAAAATTGCATTTAATAGAATGAGTACTTGCAGTGTTGCCAACTCGCCCAAGAACAAAACCACCGTGAGTGGCTTTGTATTTTTAAAATTACATTAAATCCAAAATGATTATATTTTTTCGAATGGTTTTTAGATTTTGCTATGGACCTTGTTAATAGCAACCTAAAATTATATAATTTTATTAATTAGCGGGTTGGGTGTGCTTCGTCCGTTTTTCTTGAAAGTAAAACTATGCGTTTTCTACGCACGAGAAACTTTGATGCAAATTTTTTTGTGGTTCGTCAATAACTGGTTGTTTATAATTATATGCTGCTTATATTTCTGAATTTAAATGAATAAATAATATAAAAACCTTTTTTAATGCAAAAACGTACTTTTTTTCGAAGGGCTTATCGATTTTCAATAAGCATCATTGTCAACTACCGGTTGATGTTTAATGTTACCAATTTAAATTAGTGTCTTGGGCGTGCTTCATCGATTTTTGTTGTGAAAGAAATCCCGCGTATTTAATCCACGAAACCCTTAATTAATATTTTTAATGCAAACCAATTCTTTCTATATAAAGATTGATTACTGATAAAATTCAGAATTTAAAATTTGTTTATAATGCGAAAATTCGCTAAAGTAAAAAATTAAAAATTCGCAATTTGTTGAATTCGCTCTACAACCTTAGAATGCTAATATTTTATCGCGGAAATCATAAAGATTTCAACATATAAACATAAAGATCACGCGATATTTTGGGTATATTGAAGTTTTTTCAAAACTTTTTCCCACAGTGATATCTTCTGGAGCACAGTTTGGAGATATATATTAAACGACACGTAATTACAGTCTCTATTTTTTCTTATATCAAAATTTCCCATAATTCGTCATCACTTTCTTTTCATGATATTAAACGAAAGAAATATTTAATGCATAATGTTGATTTCTTAAAAACTAAAACAAAAAAAGAATTTCCCATACGTATTTTTTATCACGAGTGAAAACCAAAATTGAATCGACACAACTGAATTCCTATCGAGAGATAATTAAAAAAGCACTATAAATACCCGTTTTATTTGTCCGGGTATTTTTAAAAAATCTCCGCTTATACGAAGCTAAAAGGCACAAAAAAATACCCCAAAAACACCGAAATGGCAACACTCAGTACTTGTCATATGCATTTGAGAGGTTTTAAATGTTCTCAGGCTGCTCATTCATCTTTACAATCGCTATATGTATACATACATAATATATATGTATTAGCATTTTGTTGTGGTTCTTGTTGGTTTAAAAAAATAGTCTGTTTTTATATTATATAGTATATACAAATGTATGTACATAAGTATGTATGTGACAAATAAGTATATACATAAACAACGTCTCTCTGTCTTTTTGGTTCCTGCTACATGTGAGAGTATTTGGTTTTTGTGTTTGACGCTAATTCCAGAGCGGTTTTGTAAAGCGTTTCGTTGAGTGCAGTCGTCAGTCACCAAACATTAAATATTGTATTGTATTTTATTATATTTATTTTTTTCCAACATCAATTTCTTTCTTACTTATTACACATACAAATTATGAAAAAATGCTTAATAAATTAATCATGCTACTTGTTTTTTGTGATTTAAACAATGTAATAATACTCGTTTCAAATGTTTTAAGTTGGTATGTTTGTTAAGATTTTGAGATGAAGATGTCTGAAAAAGCAAGAAAAAAAATGCATTATTACGTGTATGGAAAATTAAGCCAACAATAAACAAAATTAATGTGTTATTTGTTTTTAAGTTTTTTAAATATCTAAGACACAATTTCGCAAACACGGTCTAAATCATTACGTGAGTTACATTTAAATAGTTTGTATAAAATAATTTAACACACATTGCTATACACGTGAGTTAATAAGCCAATAAAATGTAAGAAAAAACAAATCTAAACTATTAAAAATTCAAGTACATCGATATGTTATATTCTAAATACAACAACGTAAATCGTCAAAACACGTTAAAGTAATAAAGCGGAAGTAATATATTATAACGTAAGTACCACACCAAATAAAAAATACATATTCACATAAGTATTCTAAAGAAATGCTCATGGTAAAGGGCAGACAGGAATAGTCAGACAGACAGATATGTAAACTATATTCACTCCATTAAGAGAAAAGGACACCTTGTTTTATATGTACACGTATACATACATGTATGTTGTATGTATGTATGTATGTCTAATATGTATGTATGTATGTATGTATGTATGTATGTATGTATGTATGTATGTATGTATGTATGTATGTATGTATGTATGTATGTATGTATGTATGTATGTATGTATGTATGTATGTATGTATGTATGTATGATGTATGTATGTATGTATGTATGTATGTATGTATGTATGTATGTATGATGTAGTATGTATGTATGTATTGTTATGTATGTATGTATGATGTATGTATTAGGTATGTATGTAGTAGGTAGTATGTATGTATGTATGAGTATGTATGTATGTATGTATGTATGTATATATGTATATATGTATGTAGTATGTATGTATGTATGGCTAGTATGTAGTATGTATGTATGTATATATGTAATATGTATGTATGTATGTATGTATGTATGTATTTGTATTGTATGTATGTATGTATTGTAATAGTATGTATGTATGTATGTATGTATTGTATGTATGTATGTATGTTGTATGTATGTATGTAGTATGATGTATGTATTATGTATGTCTGGTATGTATTTTTTTTATGAATTTATTTTATTTATGTATGTATGTATGTATGTATGTATGTGTGTATGTATGATGATGTATGTATGTATGATGTATGTATGTAGGTATGTATGTATGTATGTATGTATGTATGTATGTATGTATGTATGTATGTATGTATGTATGTATGTATGTATGTATGTATGTATGTATGTATGTATGTATGTATGTATGTATGTATGTATGTATGTATGTATGTATGTAGTATGTATGTATGTATGTATGTATGTATGTATGTATGTATGTATGTATGTATGTATGTATGTATGTATGTATGTATGTATGTATGTATGTATGTATGTATGTATGTATGTATGTATGTATGTATGTATGTTGTTGTATGTATGTATGATGATGTATGTATGTATGTATGTATGTATGTATGTATATGTATGTATGTATGTATGTATGTATGTATGTATGTATGTATGTATGTATGATGTATGTATGTATGTATGTATGTATGTATGTATGTATGTGTGTATGTATGTATGTATGTGTATGTATGTATGTGTAATTTAAGTCAATGCAAATTTTTCAAGTTTTAAAAAGCGTGATATCAAACATAACGACTATCTAGACAATATAACAAATTAATTTATTTGTTTTGCACACAAAATTATTATTAAATTTGGTTTCTTTTTATAGTTTACCCAAATTCGAATAATTATGAGAGACACTGTATATAAGTTTGTCATTCCGTTTGTAATTTCTATAATATAATTTTCCGACCCCATAAAGTATATATATATTCTGGATCCTTATAGGTAGCGGAGTTGATTAAGCTATGTCCGTCTGTCTGTCCGTTTGTGTGTTTGTTGGAATCAGTTTTTAGAGGACCCCAGATATCGGCGAGATCGGAATCTTCAATAATTCTGTTAGACGTGCTTTCGAGAAGATCGCTATTTAAAATCAGTAAAATCGGTCCATAAATATCGGAGATATGTGCAAAAATCCGAGACAACCTCTGAAAATATCATAAAAAAGACAATTTTTTCATGCTTTGATATAAGCAACAACAACACTGCTTATTCATTGAGTATTCGTTTTATATGTTTGGATGGCTATGTGTTTCATTGCCTTGTGTATATTGTTTTTGTTTCTTGGTGCATTCAGTTTCGTATGTTTGGATGTCTGTTGGTTTCATAGCGTTGTGTATTTTGTTTTTGCTTTTTTTGAGTATTTCGTTTCGTATGTTTCATTGTTTTTGTTTTTGGTGTATGTTTGGGTTAGTTTCATTGCGTTGTGTATTTTGTTTTTGTTTTTTTTGTGTATTTCGTTTCGTATGTTTGGATATCTGTTGGTTTCACTGCCTTGTGTATTTTGTTTTTTTGTGTGTTTATTTCGTTTAGCGTTGTTGTTGTTCGTTTTGCTATTGCTATAATAATGATATAAACCGGAAAATGAAATAAATTAAAATTTTATAGGTATAATTGATATTTTTTAAATACACTGTGGTGAAGGGTATATAAGATTCGGCACAGCCGAATATAGCACTCTTACTTGTTCTTACTTAAATTTATTCAAGTGACTGACAAAATGTGTTTTTTGCTGCTCGTCCTTTGTAAGTAAGTTGTAAGTGGTTGTAATCTGTTATGAGTTAGATTGACTCCTCGCTCTGCTATGTCGTTCACAACTTTCATGTTCTTTACCATCCTTGCCCCTTCTGGTAGTTGATGTTCTGCGGCCAAATTGCAGGATCCAGAAATTCGGTGTAATGTTAAGATCTAAAAGCCTCTTCGATTTATGGATGTGGTTATATTTTTTCAATATTTCTTTGTAAAATGCATATACATACTTTGAAAATTAAAAGCTTGTTTAAAGGGAAACCTGACATAATATAGTTTCACGTGTATGAATATATTTAAAAAATGTTACACGGTGTAATAGTATACATTACTTCCGCTAGCACGTTTAGTTTTTATCCTCGCTATTTAAAGTAAATTGTAAAGCGCATGTTTCTTCGGGAGAGCTCTGAATGCTATGAGCAATGTTGCCACAGCTCCAAAATTTTTGTAACCAATGTAACAAAAAGTAATCAAAATAAATTTTGCCTATTAAAATAATATAATATTTACGAAAAACATTAATAAATATTCGCAACATTTCCAAACAACTATTTCACTAAAACAATAAAACAAGTTATTTGTATTTTACTGAAATTAAAGCAAATCTGAAGCAAATAACACTATGCGACAAAAATAAATACCTGGGAACTGATACAAATTTTCTGTAAGGTGAATCCGACTAGAATAAGAATATGTTTTTGAAAATTGCCGAACGCCTCCAAAATCTTGAGTTACGGGTAAAAACCCAGTTTTCGTACCTTTAGGCACTTATGATTCAGTAACTTAGTTAATTCTGAACCGATTTTAAGTTTCTCCACGAATTTAGAAAGCTGAAGCTGAGGCCTTTATAATGACATACATATATAACTTTTAAGTAACCTGGAGAGATATGTGTTAATTTCATCAGCAAACATACTTTTTATTTTAGTTTTGCACCGTTGTCCAAGTTTGAAGAAGTTTTGAAAGTATTTTATATAGGACCCGTATTATTTATTAATTGATTAGAAACCCATGTCTATTCATGGGAAAAACGCAACTTTGTTTTTAAAAATCCGTTAGCAATTGACGACGTTATTGATATTTTTCTTAATATAAAATTGTTCAAAAACTGATTTTCTGAAGGATGCTTTATAGGGTTAAATATGGGCCGATCCTCGAAAAATTTGGTGGAAGGATTTATGTTTATATAAAAGTTATTTATGCTGAATTTCATCGCGATATTAATATTAAGAGGAGAATTATGGAATTCAAGTCATTTTTTTAAGGAAGGTTTGTATGGGGACTAGGGTCAAATAAGACCGTATTGTCTAATGAATCAGCAGTATCACTAAAGATTACAGAAAACTCATTTATACCGATTTTTGTATTGTTTGTACCTTATTTGACCTTACCCCCATGCAAATCGTCCTTAAGAAAGCGACTTTAATTCCATAATTACGATGAAATTTAGCATAAATAACTTTTATATAAATCTTAATCCTACAACCAAATTGTATGAGGATCGGCATATATATCCCTATGAAGCATCTTTCGGAAAATCAGTTTTGGAAAAATTTTGCATTAAGAATTAATTGCTAACAGATTTTTAAAAGCTAAGTTGCGTTTTACTCATGAATAAACATGAGTTGCTAATCAGTAAATAAATAATACGGTTTCTATATGAAATATATCTCCAAACTTGGACAACGGTGCAAAATTAAAATAAAAAATATGTTTGCTGATGAAATTCACACATATCTCACCAGGTTACTTAAACGTTATATGTTATTATGAAGGCCTCAGCTTCTGCTTTCTAAATCCGTAGAGAAACTTATAATCGGTTCAGTTTGAACAATGTTACTGACTTATAAGTGCTTAAAGGTACGAAAAACCTGTTTTTTACCCGTAACTCAAGATTTTGAAGGTGTTTGGCAAATTCAGAAACATATTCTTATTCTACTCGGATCCACCTTTCAGAAAAATAGTATCACTTCCCATGTATTTAAATTTTCGTATATTTTGTCTCACTGTGTAAATTATTTATTGTATTTTGGGAATATACAAAATTTCTTATTGAATCTATAAAGATTTTGTTAAAAAATATGTATATACAAAATTTTAACAAAACTTTTACTGATTCCACAAAACTTAAATTTTTAAAAATATGGGTCATTTTGTGTCAAGTGATGAAATTTGCACACATACACATCTAAAACGTTCATTTTGAAAAAATTGCCAAATATTGAAAAAATCTAATTTTTAAGTTAAAAAATATTTTTTTTTTATAGATATCCCACTCGCATCCCATTATGGGACTATAAATGCCTTAAAGTAAATTGTCTAAGCTTTCGTTTGAGCAAAAAAAAAGAAGAAAAAATTGGGATTTTTTGAAAAAAGAAAATTTTTATTATTTAAAAAAATTTGTTTTATGTTCACACAGAAGGAAAATATTTTCTAACAAACACTTTATTGAAATAAATTTAATTTTCAGTAAATATTTTTACTGATTCAGTAAATGTTTTTGTTTGAGTTTTATTTTTATGTCAGCATATGAAATACAACAATAAAACAAGTTTTGAATGCACCAAAATGAATTGATATTTGGTTTAAAACATTTACGCTTGCATTTATAAAAAAATCTTATTTTGCTTTTAATGCACTCAATAGTTAAAGCACACTTTAGCCTTAAAAACCATTAATAAAATTGTGATA